AGTAACCTCTACACCCAACATGTGGCTCGAGCTCACAACCCCCAAAGCAAGAACCACATGCTCTACCAACTGAGTCAGCCAGGTGCCCCTCAAATTAACTTAAAAAAACTTTTTTTTTCAGGGCCACCTGGGTGGCTCAGTCAGTTGAGCATCCAACTCTTGGTTTCTACTCAGCTCATGATCTCAGGGTCCTGCGATCAAGCCCTGCATCAGGCTCTGCACTCAGCAGGGAATCTGCTTGAAGATTCTCTCTCTCTCTCTAAAATAAAGAAATCTTTAAAAAAAAATTTTTTTTTTCACCTAACAGAATCCCTGATGATCAACAAACAAAACATTTTCAGGTATCAAATGAAAAGATATTTTTAATGGGTATTAATGGAATTCTGGTTCACTGTAAATTTTCTTTTTAACAAACAGGTAATAATTACTAGCAATTGCACATATATTATTCCTTGCCCTGCATCTACAGCTATAGATTTCAAGAGGAGAGTAAGGGGGAGGGAAAAGCTATTCTCCAATTTGTAGCTACCTAAGACAGACTTGCTCCCTGGTGCTAAGCAGGCCAAAATTCAGGCAGATCAGAGAGAAAATAGCTAGAGTACCAATGTATCATTTCACAGTAAGACTTTTTTTTTTTTTTTAGATTTTATTTATTTATTTGTCAGAGAAAGAGAGAGTGAGCACAAGCAGGGGGAGTGGCAGAGGCAGAAGGAGAAGCAGGCTCCTTGCTGAGCGAGGAGCCAGATGCAGGACTGGATCCTAGGACCCTGGGATCATGACCTGAGCCGAAGGCAGATGCTTAACCGACTGAACCACCCAGGCTCCCCAAGACTTTTAATGTTTTCTTAAAATGTTTTAATGTCTTCTTAAAGTTTTTAAAAGTTCTATTCTTTTTTTTTTCTTTACAAGAGTCTGACTACACTTAACCAAGTGAGCCACCCAGGCCCCCCTAAAAGTTGTATTTCACATGAACTTGTACAATTTATCTTTAGCAACATATATGATGTTACTTTTCTTTCAACACAAAAAAAGCCAGTTACTGACATCCTAGACAATATCCCTGTGCTTTCTATATTAAAGTGTGATAAAGTGTTTTGAAATACATTTTCTTTGTTACTAGAGCCATTGGTATTACCAATAATGGAAAAGTCAAAAAGCTCTCCAACTATTTAAGACTTTACAAAATACACTTGAATACTGCAGCATAATTTGCCTTTCTCCAGAAAAGCGTATTAAACTTCGTTGACATTGGATACAAAATAAAATTCAAAAATTCGCGTCTTGAGTACTTTTGGTTTCTTGACCTTTATTTGAATTTGAGACTAAGCTTTACCAAACAACAGAATTTACACTGTAACTAGCCAACCACAGTCCTCATTATGGAATCTATGCAGTACATTTGTTACCTAGGAAACAGACCAGAGCACAGGCAGAGTGCAATTTCTGTACAGCAAAAGAATTCTCCAATCATGCTGGTAAATAAAGTCCATAAATCAACTAATCAGAAGCCAAGTCAAGAAGTATCACATAAGAGTTAAGCTCTATGGAAACTTTTTTAAAGGAAAAAAAGAAACCTGTGGGGCTTCTTTGGGCAACTATGTAGATCTCTTACGTAAATATTATGAGCAGGTTTCTTTACAAACACAAACTGCCATAAAATAAACTGTTCAAAATAAATGGCTTCTCTCCAATCTTCAGCTTCTCTATTTTTGACAGTATTTAAGAGAAAAAGCTTCTTCAGAGCCAGCCTCGTACATCTGGTAGCAGAATATTAATCCAAGAATGAATTCCGCATTTTCAAAGAGCAGCATGAATTTATGCCATTCTTAAACAATGCAGGCCGATAAGGGCTGGAATGAGAGGTCACTGTCCATACTTCTCACAGTCAGACCTGCTTCCACACCAAGCTATAAAAAACTTCATGAAAAAGTATTTGAAAGTCATAGATCCATTACAAAGAATAAAACTGTTACTTTTCAGTTTTCCATTTGGTTAGTACTAATAATACTAGTCCTTTGAGGGTTCTAGGTAACCTTAAGTGGCCATTTTGAGTTTCCTTTCATGGTACCACACTGATAACTAACAAGCAGGAAAAGTCTATGGATTTTCAAGCCTATCAAATTTAACTGGGGAGCTTAGCGTTGTTTAAAAAAAAGAAACTGGCAAATGTCAGTTTATATTGCTCAGCTATATTTAAAATCCAACTTTACATATTCAAAATTTCTGGAAGTAACATTTGTCATATCAAAAGTATCAGAAAAAAATTTCAATCATGAAGAGTGAAAAAGAATTTATACGCCTTCCTAAACACCAACAAACCAGAAATCAGTTGAAAATATGTAAGGTTCTCTGGACTGCTTCTGATTACATGAAAATATTAATGTTAATTATACAAAAACCAAAAAATTAATATCCACTTTTCAGAGCCAAAAATAAAAACAAAACAGAAAAAAAACTAGGTGTTATCTTTTAGCCAGCCAACATGAAGACACTACACTGCCAATCCCAAAAAAAAGTTAGGCGTAACTACAAGTTGCCAAGCAATTCTCAACACAGGCCACACTCTTAATATTTAATTTACACAGTGACTCTTTGTTAAACTTTATTCCTCTGATTGACAGTCCTATAAATAAATACATAAACAATTCAAGTTGTTAGCTTATCTTTTTTAAAACTTCTAAGAACTAAGAGTTTGTAATCCAACACTCTGGGAGTGTTTTTGAACTCCATCCCACCATTCCTAATAAAGCCTGAACAAATTTCAATATCTATGCTCTTTGGGCCATCCTTATTGAAAAAGAAAGAGGAACCTTCCTCAGGGGCCTACTAGCGCCTTGCACTGAGCCCTATGCAGTCTAAATTCATTTAGCTTATCTAGACAGGAAGTCAAAGCAAGAATAAAATTTGATAAATTCAAAGGGACTAGTGAAATTAATGTTAGATGTAGCATCTTCTAGGTTTTAAGTGTACAAAAATGTACACTCCAGATATTTACAAAATTAGGCATGCAATAATAAATCTGTTAATGTAACTAGGGCAAGAATCTAGGCTAATTTTTTCTCCTAGAAAAAGACCACTCTTTTCAGCCCACTAAAACGGTCTCTTTATAATGACAAAAATCAGTTTGCCTAATTAAAACTGCATCAAAATTGTACGTTTCTGATGAATTTCTACATCTTACTTGATGAAGATTTAAACCAACTGTTTTCCACCAAAGTGTTCTTCCTTTAAGTTCAGATGTTTAACAAAGCCTGTTTTCTACATATAGCTGTACATGTAACTGAGCGCACCCAAAACTGTTTTTTTAATCTCCTTGATAACCATCAGATTTAAATTTGTCAATATGGATTCTCACACAATAGGCAAAAAAAAAAAAGTCTCCAGAAGTGAGCACTAGATTGAGATTAATACAAAGATATAAATCCATACCTGCATTAAAAATCTGAATCTGTAAAATGAAGTTTCTGGGTGCTTATTCAACTTCATTTATAATTTGAATATCTACAAATACATATCAACTATTCATAAGAAACTCAGAAAGATAAATAATATAATTCAAAAATATCACCTACAGTACTTTTCAAAAAACTATATCCACCATGTACAACCCAATCGTTGGGTTGTATAGAGAATACATAAAAACAGAATAAAAGAGGGAAAGCACAATCACAGAGAGAAAAATCAGTTCTGGGGCGCCTGGGTGGCTCAGTTGGTTAAGCGACTGCCTTCGGCTCAGGTCCTGATCCTGGAGTCCCGGGATCGAGTCCCACATCGGGCTCCCTGCTCGGCAGGGAGTCTGTTTCTCCCTCTGACCCTCTTCCCTAGCGTACTCTCTCTCTCTCATTCTCTCTCTCTCTCTGTCTCTCAAATAAATAAAAAATAAAAAAAAATCAGTTCTAACATTCACGTTGTCCCCATATGCTGTGGAAGACCTCATATTTTAAACCAGCAAAAATACAGGTTTCAGCCTAAACGGAAAGCTAGATATTTATTGCACTCCAATTTAACCTCCACCGTGGAAGCTGTCACTATCTGACTCGCTTAACTGTTTACTTAATAGGTAGAAGATTCTGTCATGCTAATCCTAAAGAGCACGGGAAATAACAAAACTTTACCATCAAACTTTAAAATATGTATACATGTAAAAAAAATCGTAAAAATCACAGCCATGTTTATCTTTGATTTGCCTGTAAGTCCCTACCTAATCTTAAGAAAAGAAGAAAAGCCACCTGAAAACCAGAAACTGTGTGTGATTTGGGTTTGATTTTGGTCAGCCGCGCCTCCTCGCACCCAGGGGAATACATTTCTCGATGTATTTGATAACAAACACAAATCACTGTGCGCAGCCTCAGATGGGGGAGGGGGGCGGAAGAGCCCTTCGGAGAAAGCCCTCCTCCGTTAGAAACAATAAATAAGGGACCAAAGCGATGCACGTTCCTCTACACACGCCCCACACGCACCTCAGCGTGCCTCTCGCGAAAGAAACAAGTCGGGCAAAGACCCGAACCACCTCTCTCCCTCTCTCCACAACCGTCTCAAGACTTGGAAACTAAGAGGGCAGATCTTTTCTTTCTCCTTCCCGCCCTCCTTCCCACCTCCAAACAGACCCAAGAGCAGGAGCAAGCGAGCCAGACCCACGCAGCGCGCCCGCGGCGGCGACAGGAGATGCTAGGCGGCGGGCCAGCCCCGCCGAGGCTGACCAGAGCCGCGGCCGCCCGCGCTCGGTCCGGGAGCCCGCTCGGCCGCCCGGGGTCTCACCCCTCGCGCCCCCAAGCCCGTCGTCGGCGACGGCCAGCCGCCCAAGTCGCTGCCCTGATTCTCGGCCTTCCCACCCCGCCCCCCCCAGGAGACAAAAGAGGGTTCAGCCGGGTCACTGCTCGGCTGCCGAAGGGGAGGCAGCGCGGACCCCAGCGCGGCCACCCCCTACACAAAGGGGCTCCCCGGCCCAGGTCGCAGAGTCGGCGCGCTCGTCCCCGCCCCGCGCGCGGGCTCTCACCCACCTGCAGGTGTCTGTGCGTCTGTCCATAGGAACGCGGGCGGCTGGGGGGCCTGCGGGAGCCGGGCAGCCCGGGCTGGACGGGGCGGGACCGAGGGGAGGGAGGGAAAGCGGCCGGAGAGCCGGGGAGCCAAGGCAAGAAGAGCGGGGAAGGCGCCGGGCGGGCGGCGGACGGAGGCGCGGGGCGGGGGGCGGGGGCGCCAGCCTGGCTCTGCCGACCGGCGCGCGCCGCTCCGTGCGCCCCGGGCTCCGCGCGCCCGGCTCGGAGCGCGGCGGGCGGGGGGCGGGGCGCGGGGCGCGGGCGGGGCGGGGCTGGCGAACGGGGCGGGGGCTTGGACCCCGGACTCCAGCCGGCACCGGAAACGCGCTGTGGTCCGCGAGACCCACAGGAAGTGTGTAACGACACCTCCTACGAAGCGCTCGGAGTTCCCGGTCGTCGCTGCCGGGAGGGGGTGTGGACCGATCTTCCTAGCACACACCGGCGCGCACGAGCTCGGTCTCTGTGCCCAGACAGGTGTGGAACCCACGGTCCCTGCGATGTTCTGAAGTGGGCAGCACTCCGTCCTGCCGCGCGCCCTGGCCCGCGATCCCTGCTGCCCCTTGGAGCTCCGCAGAGCTTCACCTAAACGCAAGGAGCGGACCTTGCAAGAACCTGCTCCGTTTGCCTGGTGTGTAACACCTGTTTTAACGCACCGAGTAGGCATGTACAGGAACATCTGCTGACTTACAACCCACAGCCATTGCTGCCCAGTGGAAGTTCCCAGTCCCAAGTACAGCACTCGCATCCATCCCATGGTGGGGGGGGGGCAGTTTAATAACACCTAAAACACACTAGGACCAGGGAGGCATACAATAACACCACTTACACAGCTCGGTATCATAGAGGTAAGGCTGGCGCCCTCCACCTTTATTTTACCTAGCAAACACTTTTATAGTACTTACTATATGTGACCGGGGTTTACACTAAGTGCTCAGGGGATATTTATTTAATCCTCGCAAATAATTTTATAGTACTTACTATATGTGACCGGGGTTTACACTAAGTGCTTAGGGGATATTTAATCCTAAGAACTCTATGCAGTGGGTGTTGTTAGCTAATTGCCAATTTATAGATGAGGAAACTGAGGCACAGAGGAATTAAGACATCTGCCCAAGGGCGCCTGGGTGGCTGAGTTGGTTAAGCGACTGCCTTTGGCTCAGGTCATGATCCTGGAGTCCCGGGATCGAGTCCCACATCGGGCTCCCTGCTCGGCACGGAGTCTGCTTCTTCCTCTGACCCTACCCCCTCTTGGGCTCTCTTTCTCTCTCTCACTCTCTCTCAAATAAATAAATAAAATCTTTAAAAAAAAAAAAAAAGACATCTGCCCAAGATGATACAGTAGCTGGACGAACCTGGGTTCATCCCAGGCGATTTGGAGCCAGATTCCATGCTCTTAACCCCCTTTTTACTTACAGCATTAAGTATCTCCAAAATAATAATAGTGGTAATAAATAACATTTAAAGCATATCTGACTGATTAGCCAAATGTGGTGCTCACATCCTGACCTCACCCCACTGTGACAAGGAAACCTCAGTCCCTCTTACCCTCGCTGTACATGAGGAGAGAGAAGAATATGAGGCAGAGAAAGAAAGAAATCCTGTCATATGTCACAACATAGATGAATCTTGAGGATATTCTGCTGAGTAAAGTAAACCAGACTAACTTCCGAGCAAAAAAGAAAGGATTGTTTTTTTTTTTTTTTAAGAAAGGATTCTTAACACCTTGTTCTGTCAACACTCTTCCTGGTCTAGGCTGAATTAAAAAAAAAACAACAACTATGTGAACATTTTTGACAGAATAATGTCCGTCCAAAAAAAAAAAAAGTTAATTGCCACATATTTCAAATATATAATCCTGTGGAGAAATTGGAACCTTAAGCATAGCCGGTGAAAATGTAAATGGTACAGCCACTATAGAAAACAATATGGGGGTTCTTCAAAAAATAAAATAAAATTATGATGCAGAAATCCCACCTCTGGGTATATATCCAGCAATTAAAGCAGTAACTTGAAAAGATATTTGCACACCCATGTTCACTGCAGCATATTCCAATGGCCAAGAGGGGAAAGCTGCCCAAATGTCCATAGATGGATGAATGGATAAACAAAATATGGCACATACATACAATAGAATATTACTCAGACTTAAAGAAATCTTATATTTCTTCATTAAAGAAAGAAATCCTGTCATATGTCACAACATGGATGAATATTGAGGATATTCTGCTGAGTAAAGTAAACCAGTCACAAAAGGACTACTGGAATATGATTCCACTTACATGAAATACCTAGAGTTGTCAAAATCATGGAAACAAAGTATTGTGGTTGCCAGGAACTGGAGGAGGGGAATATGGGGAGTTGTTCCATGAATATAGAATTCTAGTTTGACACAATGAAAAGGCTCTAGAGAAATCTGTCACACAACAATGTGAATATAGTTAACACCACTGAACTGTATACTTAAAGGTGGTTAAGAGGATAAATTTTATATTGTGTTTTTTACCACAAATAACTTCTTTAAAATACAATCTCATTTAAAGGATATATCCATCATGATGAATTTCTTTAATGATGCAGACTTCCAGCTATGATGGGCTACCTTGTTGAATAAACTACCTCTCCCACTAAGAACTGGAACTATAAACATTGTATTTAAAGGTTGTTTAAAGCTATTCTAGAGCAACCAAGGCTTGAGAGTCCAAGAGCTCAGCAAGAAGGAAAACACACTGGTGAATCTTACATTCTCAACCACTTTTCTTTCTTAGGGCATTGTTGATTTGTGTCTAGGAGTATAGAAACCAAACAGTGAGAAACATCCTAGAATTTTTGACAGTCTGATTGGGCTACAGATACAAAATTTGGAGGTCAAGTCTATCAAGACAGCGAGGAATTGAAAGCCCAATATCCCAGAGATAAGGTAATCACAGCAAGAAGAGCCAATCACTCTACACGCCATTTATCCTCAAAGCATTTGATAATTCCTAATCTGTACACACAAGGGGCAAGAAGCCAGGAAACCAACTGCTAAGACAAAAAAAGGAAAAAAAAATTTGAGCACTAACACTTAGCTGTCTCAGAGTGCTAGAAGGAATTAAACAGGAAGGAGGGGCCCTGGTACACACCTCAAGAATCTCAACTGAGACCCTTGAAGAACTATACCCTGAGAGTAAAAGCAAATCGGAAACAGCAGTAACAATGCCTAAAACAGCCTAAACTATTTCAGTGACTAGGTGGATCAAGATGATCTTTCCATGTTCTGTCTGCCTGCAAGAAAAATAGCAAATCTTCTCTAAAGAGACTTCATTTTTTAAAAAAGATTTTACTTATTTAAGAAAGAGGGAGAGTGAGAGTGAGAGAGAGCATGAGAGCAGGGGGTGGGGGAGGCAGATGAGAGAAAGAAGCAGACTCCCCACTGAGCAGGGCATCCGATGTAGGACTCGATCCCAGGACCCTGACATCATGACCTGAGCTGAAGGCAGACGCTCAACTGACTGAGCCACCCAGGCGCCCCTCACTCATGAATTCTAACAAACATTTAAATGAAGAAACTATACCATTTCTCTCTAGTCCCTTTCAGAAGACAGAAATAGAGAAAATATGCCTAATCCACTCTATGAAGACAGCATTACCCTAATCCAAAACCAGACAAAGACATTACAAGAAAATTACAGACACGTATCTCTCATGGATACATACAAAAGTCCTCAACAAAATATTAGATGGAATCCAACAATGTATAAAAAGAACTATATGCCAGAACTGTCATAGCCTGTTCACACTGCCATAACAAAATACAGATCTTCCTCAACTTACCATGGGGTTGTCCCAGTAAACCCATTGTAAATTGAAAATATCAAAATGCATTTAATACACATAACCTAGCAAACACCCTTGCTTAGCCTAGCCTGTGTTAAACATGCTCAGAACACTTACATTATCCTACAGTTGGGCAAAATCATCTAACACAAAGCCTATTTTATGATAGTGTTGAATATTTTATGTAATTTATTGAATGGTTGTATGGGTACAAAATGGTTGTTAAGTGTATCCGTTGTTCCTCCTTATGACCGAGTGGCCGACTGGGAGCTGTGACTAACTGCCACTGACCGGCATCATGAGAGAGAGTATCATACCACATATCACTACCCCAGGAAAACATTAAAATTCAAATTTCAGAGTGCGGTTTCTACTGAATGTCTAGCACTTTCACACCATCACAATGTTGAAAAATTGTAAGTTGAACCATCATTAAATCAGGGACTCTCTGAACCAGAGACTGGGTAGCCTTTAAACAATAAGCTTTATTTCCCACAGTTCTGGAGGCTAGGAAGTTCAAGACCAAGGCACATACAGAGTCAGTAGACATAAGGGCTTGATTTCTGGTTCATAGATGGTACCATCTCACTGTGTCCTCACATGGTAAAAGGGAGCAGCTAGCCCTCTGGGGTCTATTAAGGGCACTAATCCAATCACGAGGGCCCTAACCTCACGATCTAATCACCTCTTGAAGGCCCCATTTCCTAATACCATCGTCTTGGGGGTTAGGATTTCAACATATGAAATGGGGGTAGGGCTTGAATACTCATATAAAAACAACCATATGGGATTTATTTCAGGTATGCAAGGCTGGTTCAGCATTCAAAAATAATAATCTACCACATCAACAGGCAAGAAGATCATATCAATAGGGGCGCCTGGGTGGCTCAGTCGTTAAGCGTCTGCCTTCGGCTCAGGTCATGGTCCCAGGGTCCTGGGATCGAGCCCCGCATCGGGCTCCCTGCTCCGCAGGAAGCCTGCTTCTCCCTCTCCCACTCCCCCTGCTTGTGTTCCCTCTCGCTGTGTCTCTCTCTGTCAAAAAATAAATAAAATCTTTAAAAAAACAAAAGATCATATCAATAGATTCAGAAAAAGCATTTGACAGAATCTAACACCCACTCATGATAAAATCTCTCAGTAAACTAAGCATAGAGGGAACTTCCTCAACTTGATGAGGAATATCTACAAAAACCCTACAGCTAATGGTGAGAAACTAGAAACTTTCTCACTAAGATCATGAACTAGGCAAGGATGTCCCCTCTCATTAATGCTTTTCAACATCATACTGGAAGTCCTAGCTAATGCAATAACACCACAAAAGGAAATAAAAGGAAGAAATAAAACTATGTTCACAGCTGACATAATTGTCTCTGTAGAAAACCTGAAAAAAATGACTAAAAAAAAAAAAAAACCCTCCTGGGAACTAATAAATGATTATAGTAAGGTTGTAGGATATAAGGTTAATATACAAAAGTCAATCACTTTCCAAAACCAGTAATGAAGAAGTGAAATTTGAAATTTAAAACACATTACCACTTATATTAGCATCCCCCCCAAAATACTGAGGTACAACTCTTAAAATCTAACAAGATCAAAAAAAAAATCTAACAAGATCTGTATGAGGAAACCTACAAAACTCTTATGAAAGATACCATAGAACAACTTAATAAATGGAGAGTTCATATTCATTGATAAGAAGACTCAATATTGTCAAGATATCAGTTTATCCCAAACTGATATATGGATTCAATGCAATGCCAATCAAAATCCCAGCAAATTATTTTGTGGCTATCAACAAATTGATTCTAAGGTTTTTTTAATTGAGAAATACTTGTACTTTTGATTTCAAAGTTTTTCATTTTAAGTAAGCTGTACGTCCAATGTGGGGCTTGAACTCACAACCCCAAGGTCAAGAGTCACATGCTTCACCAGCTAAGCCAGGCAGGTGACCTTGATTCTAACGACTTATATGGAGAGATAAAAGACCCAGAATAGCCAACTCAGTATTAAAGGAGAACAAAGTTGGAGGACTGACACTACCTGACTCCCAAGACTTACTATATAGCTGCAGTAACCAAGCAGTGTGGTATTGGTGAAGGAATAAACAAATAGATCAGTAGGACAGAATAGAGAACCCAGAAATAGACCCACATAAATACAGTCAACTGATCTTTGACAAAGGAGAAGACAGTCTTTTCAACAAACAGTGCTGGGACTGGATATCCACACGCAAAAAAAAGAATCTAAACAAAGACTTTACTCCTTTCACAAAAATTAACTCAAAATGGATCACAGATCTAAATGTAAAATGCAAAATATAAAATTCCTAGAATATGACAGGAGAAAACCTAGATGGCCTCGGGTATGGCAATGACTTTTTAGATAGGACACCAAAGGCACAATCCATGAAAGTAATGATTGCTAAGCTGGACTTCATTAAAATGAAAAACTTTGGGGCACCTGGCTGGCTTAGTCAGAAGAGCATGCGACTCTTGATCTCTGTCGGGGTTGTGAGTTCGAGCCCCACACTGGGTAGAGATTACTTAAAATAAATAAACTTAAAAAGATTTTTTTAAAAAATGAAAAACTTCTGCTCTGCAAAAGGCAATGTCAAAAGAATAAGAAAACAAGTCCCAGACTGGGAGAAAATATTTGCTAAAGACATATGATAAAGGAGTGTTTTCCAAAATATACAAAGTACTCTTAAAATGCAACAGTAAGAAAACAACTTAATTTAAAACTGGGCCAAAAACCGTTAACAGACACCTTACTAAAGAAGATACAGAGGCAAGTAAACATATGAAAAGATGTTCAACATTGCAAACTAAACGGAGATACCACTACACACCTGTTAGAATGGCCAAAATCCACAACACTGACAATACCAAATACCCAAGAGGATGTGGAGCAACAGGAACACAAGTTCATTGCTGGGGGGAATGCAAAATAGTACAGCCACTTGGAAGACAGTTTGCAGTTTACTTAGTAAGTAAAACTAAACTTACTAAACATATATTTTCCTTTGCACAATTTGCCACTTTAGAAACTCAAAGTTCTTTTCTTTTGTATTATTTCTCCAAAAATCTATTGTTCTTTTAAGATGTTATGTAAGCTCAAGTTCTAACCACTCCTTGGAGGTATTCATGTCTGAATACTCCCATGTATATTTGTAATGCACGTTAGTAAACTTCAATTTCTTCTTCTCTTGTTAAGCTATCTTTTGTTAATCTAATTTACAGGGCCCCAGCTGAAAACTTGATAGGTAGAGGGAAAAGACTTTTTTTCTTCTACTTAAGAGGTTTATTTAAGAGGCACTATGTAAGAGGATTTGTTGAAATATTGGATTACTAGCAACAAACCATCTTAAAAATAGTGTCTAAATAACTTCACTCAATCATTAACAAGACCCATGGCCTTGATTTACCTCCATACCATTTAATTCCAGAAATGGGCTCAATTGGCTGCTGGACAACACACAAAATGGCCATTCAAAACTTCTGGGAGGTTCTACAACTTCAGTGCACTTAATGGGCAAGATCCATGGAAAGGGAACGCGTGAATTCATTAAGGTATCAGGGGGATGTTGCAAGAGGCTTCAAGAATCTAGGTGTGGCTATCTTTATTTCTGATAGGATACTGCAAATTGTTTGGTATTTCTTAGTAATAATGAGCACAAAGGGGCTGCAGATGACCTAATCCAACTCCCTCACTTATAGATATGAAAACCAGGGCCCTGTGAAAATATTTTTTCCTGATATCCCAAAGCCTCTTGGTAAGCAAGTTCATGTTTTAGTGATTAGAACCCAGAATTCCTGTCTCACAATATTTTCTTTTTATTTTCCCAAAGCTTTGAGACCATTTGGAAAATGCAAAGAGAGAAGACTTTAATAAGCTTCAGTAGAAAACGAGCTGGCTGGCAACACCTGACCAGGATCTTCACATAGCTAGGAATGACTGGCAGATGCAAAGGGAGTTGTGAGGCTGCCACCCCAAAGGCAATCCATCTGGGCTTCCTGGATGGGGAGGTAAGGTCTTCAGGTTCTATTCAAGGCTGATGTCCTGGGAGGTTTTTGTTGGATAGGGATATTGTTAATTTTCCCATTTTCTGATCCTGTTTCTTCATTTGTAAAATAGACATTAAATGCTTTAACATTACAATTCTAGGAAATGTCAGAATTAAGCACAGTAATATTACAGAACGGAAGATGAGAAGTAAAAGAATTACACTGAACAAGTATTTTTAACTGATTAAAGTGAAAGGAAAGGACTTTTTTTTAAACCTTAGCTTTAAAAAGAAAAAAGAAAAACAAACCATTGTATGAGCTTACTGGGGCTGTCAAAACAAAATACCACAGACTGGGGTGCTAAACCAACAGATATCTTTCAGTTCTGGAGAACAGGAGTCTTGGTAGATGTGATTTCTTCTGAGGCCTGCTGGTCCTCACATGGTCATTCCTTTGTGTGTGCATCCCTGGTCTTTTATCTCCAAATTTCCCCTTTTAGAAGGACCCCAGTCAGACTGGATTAGAACCCACCCTAAAAGCCTCATTTTAACTTAATCAATTCTTTCAACGTGGGGGGACGTGGGGAGGACGTGTGTGTGCGTGTGCGTGTGCGTGTGTGTGTGTGTGTGTGTGTGTGTTAGGATTTCAACAAATGAGCTTGGGAGGTTTACAATTCAGCACTTAACAACCATCTATTCTGATGTTCTCTTTTTACAACACTGTGACCAAGTGCATACTTCTGGGGAGAAATTATTTTATTTTAAAATATTTTTACACATTTAAAAGAGGATACATACTGAATTACATTAGCGAAATTACATTAATAATAGGTAACTTATACCTGGAAAGCTAGTTAGAATGAAAAACTATTTTTGTTTCATTAGTCTTCACTATTTATTAGTTTATGTGATTTCCGCAAAAATGCATTATAGAAGATCTTCCTTAAAACAAGTATATGAAAATCTAAAATATCATTAATATTTCATTAGCATACAATCCCAAACTGAAAAATTTAAAACAGATTAATCTCCTTTTATATGGGAGATAAAGAAGAGCTAATTTTACTGCTTAAACCGGGTCATACCTTTCCCACAATGAATGAAATCTAGCTCTCAGAAGGCAAACTCAGAAAATTCCATGGGCAGACTGTCTTAGAATTCCACTTAATGAAGCTTATGTTTAATTAGCTAGCCGTTTTAATTACAATTTCAAGTCTTATAGATACAGAAATTGTTTTTTCCAAAACAAATTTGCATATCCTTATAATACGAAAGGGAAAAAAACAAACAGATTTTAACTGTTGATCCCCTTTACTTTTTGGGCTTAGTGATTGACATTTTTTTTTCTTTTCCTTCATAACTTGGCATTCATCTGATTCATTAGCTTCTCCAATCTGATTGCTAGGGTCATGTTTCCTTTAATCTTCAATTTTCCTGACATGAATGCCATTGTTGGTTTTAGTTTCCCTAAAATGAGAAAATGAGGGAAGGAAAAGCATCCATTAGTGCCCTTAGGGAGATAACACTTCAAGAACATGCATTATAAAAAGAATCTTGAGTTCTATAAACCTCTGAAGCGCACAAATTTCTATTCCATAATTTTTTTTTTAATCAGTATCTTGGGAATCCCAGTTCCTAGACTTAGATATTAACAATATCTTATAACATGAGAGATAATGTAAAAACAATCAGCAAAAGATTATACCAAACAGCTGAAGATGCAATATTTATATACTAGTTACAACACATTAAAGGATACATGGCCCTCAGATGAATTGTAGTAAACAAATACTATTTTAGTTAATTTTCCAATCTATTATAGTTCATTACACTTTTAACATTTCAGGTTTAGATTCAAAAAATCAAATGGTATAAATGCATATAATATTCTTAAGAAATTATCATTAAAAACATAGTGTACAGACAACAAAAGTATGTGTTAGCAGTATTTTAACCACAGAAATGCCAGGATGGAAAACATGAGCATTACAACAGAACTGTAATTATTAACAACATAAAAGAAACAGAAGCTCCATGGAGGGAGGAAACTTTATTTGCTACTCTTATTCCAGTGCTAGTACAGGGTCAGGCACACGGTGGAATTAATTAGGAAACCGAGGCTCAGAAAGGATTCTGACTCACTCAGTGTCACACAGCTTGTATATGACACACTGCAATTCAAAGCCAGGTGTTTCTGATTCTTTATTTTTTTTTAAGATTTTATTTATTTGAGAGAGAGAGAACACACACATGTGAACAGGGGAAGGGGTAGTGGGTAAAGGAGAAGGAAAGAATCTCCAGCAGACTCTGTGCTAAGCACAGAGCCGGATGTGGGGCTCAATCCCATGACCTTAAGATCACGACCTGAGCTGAAATCAAGGCTCAGTTGTTAAGCATCTGCCTTCAGCTCAGGTCACGGTCCCAGGGTCCTGGGATAGAGCCCCACATTGGGCTCCCTGCTCGGTGGGAAGTCTGCTTCTCCTTCCCCCTCTCCCCCTGCTTGTGTTCCCTCTCTCGCTGTGTTTCTGTCAAATAAATAAATAAAATCTTAAAAAAAAAAAAAAAAAGAGTTGGACACTTAACCGATTGAGCCACTCAGGTGCCCCTGATTCTTATTTATAGTTTTCTGAGCTATATGATGCCAATTTATCTATAGATCATCTCTCCAGCAGGCACAATATGTGTCTGGTGCATTAGTAAACTTCTACTGAGCCACACGCAGATGGGCTCTTTGTAGAAAAAAAAATGTGTGGGTTAATGTATTTATATATGTTGAGATATTAAATACCTTTAAATTATTCTATGTAGGGGTTGTTACAAAGCATTATAGATTGCTTAGGGATAGAAAGAATCAAGTCCAATTCTTTAATGAATAAATAGCTGCGCATTACTCTATGGAAATGTGATGTTAAAATACCTAAATTTACAAATAATAAACTAAGGGATAGTTTTGATTTACATAGAAGATACTGGAAAATCTTTTTTTTTTTTTTT